ATGATGATGATGGTGATGCTGCCCATCGGTTGTGGTCACTGATGCGAACCGGGCAATAAAAGGGCAAACTTGGATTCTCCTTTCTTGGATATATTTTCTTAGAATCTAAAACGAGAACCCCCCTCTCTCGAATCCTTGCATTTTTTCTTCTTTTATCATTTACACGTTAAAATTATACCTTAAATCTACCTTTCAGATCGAACACACGTGAATCTATGAACTTTTCTAACATTTAACTAACTAAGATTGCTAATAGTTAACCATAATTACGGTATTACAGATATGGGGGAAGAATTAATGATCGTTTTTATTATGGTTAGTCTATGTTAGTAGTGAAATTAGTTTATTAAACGGCCGAAGTGTCGGTGTCGTCTCGTCTCGTCTCGTGTATAAACTTCGGGAGCAAACTTAGGACGCGGAAAACTTTGCTATCGAGAAAGTAAAGGGGGGCAACCCGACGTAATAACGAGAGGAGTTACACGCTCTTTAACTATAATCTCGTTGTCTTCGCCGCAGAAAACGAGCACCTTAATCACGAATACCACAACCTCGTGATAATTTTCTCCCCTCTGCTCTTCTTCTTCTTATTCTCTTCTCTTCCTTTTTATTTTTATCTTAAATTCTCTTTACTATCGTCTACCGTGTTCTAAATATTAATAATCGTCTAATACTTTAAATACAAACGAACATAACTAATTACAATTCTTAATCAAAGGTTGATTTAATTTGTACGTTGTTAAAAATCATTAAAAGATGAATTTTCGGCATGGGAAAGCTTTTCGTAGCTTAATTGGAAAACAAATAATCGTCTAATCATCTAAACCCAACGTAATTTTCTATGAATATCTAAACTTAAGTGTTTAGGGGGAGCTTTGATCTTTGTTTTCCTTAAACAATATCCTAATCGATTGAAAAGATTTTCTCAATCTCGAATAACTTTTTAAAACAACAGGTATTTATATGGTGGTGCTATGATTTAGGATAAACCCAACGTAGAAAGATACTTAAAAGAAGATAGTTTAAATCGTTTATCGAAATATTTGTCTCTTCCAATAAAAAAAAGAACTGATGGGAATGATACCCATTTCGATCTTTTACAATCATCACGAATCCTTCTCTTATCCTCTTCTTTTTCTAAACGTTCTTCCTTTCAATTATAGAAATGATTTTCCCATAGACGATTTAAATATTCCATCATTGTTGAAAAATGTTGAACTATAAAACAATCTTGCAATTTAAACCCCTTCATTTCTAGACCTTATTTTTCGGTTAACACACATCGAAACAATAATTAGAAATAGTTTTGTTTTCTTACCACACTTGAAACGGATTTGAAAGTTGCTTGTGAAAATGACTTTCTCACTCTCTCTTTCCTACTACTACTACTACTATTACTACTATTATTACTCCTCTTTGATCTTTCGAGTTTCTCAACTTCTCCCAATGATTCCAAATTCGATTTATTGATTTTTCTCATAGACCGAATGATTCCTTTCTCTAATTTTCTATTACTCGTTCTCATCTTTACAGAAATCGTGTTTCAAATAGGGTCGGGTCGGACGAGAAAAACACCTTTTTCTATTTTTCCCCTTTGTTCGAATCCCGGTGCCCTAGTTTCTCGTTTAAATCCTCTTGGTACAATCGAACAAAGAATATTTCACACGAATATACGTCGTAGAATCTCAATTCGTTGCGTGAAATAAATCGTTTGAAATCGTTAAAACTAATCGGGTTTTGAAACTAACTCCCCATACTCCCCATCCCCATCCCACGATCGATACAATATCGATCGTTGTAGTAGTTCATCGGTAACACATCCTATGAATTAAAGCCGATTATCGATGCGTTTCTTAATCGTACGACAGATGCACGTTTATACAGTTCAAACGTCCTGCAATTTTTCACAACTGTATTTGTTGTTTCTCTATTTGCATTAACACAACCCTTTCTCGTACCTTTTATTTTCTTTTACACCTGGAAAGATTGATAAATAGGTGTTCATAGCAAACGTTGTTGATATTTATACTCTCATTTCTATTTTTACTAATTTGTTTTAATATTATTAATAATAATTTTACAATAATAATTTATTGATGATGAGAAAAAATATTAGAGACAAGTATATCAAATGTGTAATAGAAAATAGCGTGTGAACAAGATTTCGTGAAAAATCCCGTAACCGGGTGGGGTGAGATGAAGGGGGGTGGGGTTAGTGAAGCCTGTATATGACCGCGAATTTCGGTAAAGAAGTGAGGGGGGTTTCCTTCTTTCAATCGCGGTCTCTTTTCTCTCCCCTTCGCACATAGAAAAACCCATAGTAATTGAAGATGAAGTAAGAAGGGCAAGGTTTTACCTTTTGAGGTCATGGGAAACATGTCTCGTCTGACAGAAATTATTTTTCGTCGTCTCAAGAAAAATTGAGAAGAGAATTAGGAGTTTGAGGGGGACTCTTCCCATTTATCTTGGAAACAACAAAATTCATCGTTCATTTTCGAATCTTGTGATACAATTAAAACATTATCGAATGATTTATTGTTCTGTTGTAATCAAACTAGTTGATAACTTTGAATAAGATAGATATTAATCCATTTTGAAATATATTTTTCGTGTTGTTAAAAGTGTCGAATAGAAAGTTTCTGACAATTCTTGGAACGTTCATTGACAACTTGTTGTCTACATGAATAAAATGAATGACTTCCGGCATGTGAAAAGTAGCACTGCACACGTGTGTTGTCACATTTCTAGTAATAGTATACTTCAATCCTGATGCATTATTAGCATCTATTATCCTAGGATATTATTTTTGTTTTTAGAAATATCTTTTGCGATTTATTCATTGTCAATTTGGTATTAATTTCTGCATAGGAGAAGTTGCCCAGTGTTTTTCATACTTTAAACAAACATAAATATATTCCATTCTCAAGTAGAGTTAATATTCAGCATACTCAAAGAGGTTAAACTTGACGAATCGATAATGTATTGTGCGTTTTACCAACCAATAACAGGTTTACATGTCTGGTGCTACCGCTGCTGCTGTTGCAACTAAGGGGAAGAACATCAAAATTGTCGAATCTCTCTATCTCGAGAGAAAACTTGATTAAACTTGAGTATGAAATTTCGCGTTAGAAGGAGGAAGGAAGGAAGGAAGGAAGCCGCACGATGCGCTTCTCATATCTCGTATATACCACTTACGCGCAAGTATACGAATAGCTTTGATGCAGAACTCCTACTACTTATGTCTATGTGTTATAGACTAAGTATATACGAAATTGTTAACATGCGTAGTAATAGTTCGTAGTCGAGTATACCTTGTGAATTCATTTTTCCCTTGTATCATCATAGTCATCAATATTCTTATAATTAAATTATCCGAATGCCCAAAGCCCCTATACACCTAATAAAAAATAGATTAAATCAAAAGTTTGTTGTTTAACACAACAACAAACCAAAACCAAAATTCGATCAATCTAATCCCCCAAGGGAGTCCATCGATCGTTAGAAAAGTTTCCAAATCATAAAAAAGGGCAGGTAAAACCTGCCAGTATCGTAGATGTTTTATGTTTTTTTTCTAAATCCGAACTTTAGGTAATAGTTAATTCGAGTTTTGGAAGAGTGTCGCAAAGGGAACGGTATGGAGAAAGGGATAGTAGGATGGGAGGACCTTTAGGTTCGTTAGCGCTTGGGATAGAAAGGAAACTCGTCGTCGTAGAAGACGAAGAAGCAGAAGAAACAGAAGAAGAAGAAGAAGAAGTAGAAGTAGACGGTGGTCGGCCGGTGGCGGCCATGTTTTCGCCGGCACGGTAGGCGTTCACGGGCGGTACCGAGACACTCGGTTCGTTCTCCAAACTCGTTGGAGAACGGCCTCCCCCACCCCCAGGCATCCTCCGGGAACTCTGGTAGGGCAAGCTACCCCACCAGTCGCGTTTCGTTCTACGTTCTACACTTTATCCCCACCCCAACTGTCGGGTTTCGTTCTACGTTCTACACTTTATCCCCTCCCTTTCATACCTTCTTCCAATTCTCTCTCCTTCGGCTACGCTCGGCCTATTTCGACTATCCTCGTGCCTCCTAGCTAACGTTATACCCCTCTTCTCAACAGTGGAAAAGAGCTTTAAGCTTAGTGCATATTACCGTGGCAAGAGAAGTAGGGGGAAAGTCATTTTGTTGAAGAAGTATAGGAGGGCTGGAGGAGTAGGCTGTGATCGAACCGCATGTATCTTCTTCTTCTTCTTCTTCTTTCAACTTCTTCTTCTTTCAACTTCTTCTTCTTGCCCCTCTACTTCTCTTTTCGAGCTTGCCGCCTCCATGGCTGCTGCTGGCTGCTGTTGCTGCTGCTCCTGGTTTGGAAGCAAACTTCCTTTATTCCTTGCTTGCTGTGTTCGATCCTTATCCAGTTTCTGTTTCTGTTTCTTTTCTTTTCTTTTCTAATATCATTCGAAAATTTCTGGAAATTTAATCACCTTACTACTTAAAGGTTAGAACTGAGAAGTGGGAAAGGAAAAGTTTATGTTAAATGATGAAAAATTATTCTCTTTCTTTTTCGCGATAAATCTACATTTTTTCGGCATCCATACCTTATGCATTATTATGCACAAAAATATATGTACACCTGTGTTTTAATGTAAGGACGGTTTAAGGGGAAATGTGAATAGTAATCGTCGATCATGCACATTGCTTGTTTCTGTTTTATAAATCAAATCCCATCTACGACACCGAAATTATTCGCATATATCATATACCACCTGACTTAACTTTTACAGAAGGATCATGTATGTGAAATTATAATAATGGGATTCCTAAAAATATTATTGACGTATTATTTCCGTCAGGTTGATCGATTCTTCAGCATCGTTTTCTTCCTTTTTTACGATTTTTTCGGTCGCTACTACATGAATATGATCAATCATAATTTTCAATCTCTTGTTTTCTTGTTCTGTTCTTTTAAATTTCAAATCATTCTATTCTCTAACAATTCCTTTTTTCCTTTTCTTTTGTTACAGACAGATGGTTGGCCGTATTTTGGTAGAAAGTTTTCGATCAGCTGCCAATACCGAAACCAAGTTACCGATTGAAGAGTACATGACATGTGTTCATAAGATAAGCGATGATCCAGGTAAACGAATTTAATCAATATGCTTCAATTTATCGAACACTTTATTCGCATCAATTTATTTTAACACAAAACAAATTAGATTAAGTAGATTAACTTTACGTAAATAAGAGAAAAGGGGGAGGGTAAAGAATTAATACACAATACATGAAATTAAGATAAAGAAAATGTAAAAGCTTAAATCATATTTTGGGAAAAAAAAAAGAAACAGAATGATCAATTCTAATCCTTTTATTAAAAATACTAATAAGAATGATGTTCATACGAGAATAAAAATTGAAGTTTTGTCGAGCTTTGATGTTGCCTGTAAAATAATAGAGCTTTGACATGAACTGTGTTTTCCAATTGCAAAAAGGATTGGACATGATTAATTCTGAGCCAAATCCTTCAATACGTGTAGATATATATAAACAGCATTAAAAATATTTGATTTGCTTTATATCTTCGTCATATTCTGTTGAAATTGTTTCACTTTTTCAGTTCACAAGCTTTTATCCTATATCAATATTTCATATACTTTGATCTTTCTATATTAAATTATATTTACACGAATAGTAATTACACTATGCACGTGTAATATATTATTACCAGCTAATAAATGAATTTATTTCGGACTAAAATGTGAGATAAAAATTTAAGAAAAGCTAACAGCAGCAGCACCACCAGCATATGTGTCTCTACGAACAGACAACATGCTTGAGAAAAAACAGAACGCATGTTGTTGTACGTTGAACGAGTAAATAACGAAAGGGAAAAAGAAAAAGAGAGAGAGGAGGGGGGAAAGGGGGAGAATGATAGAAAAAGAAAGATAAGGAAAACGGAAAAGAGGAAAGAATGCGGGGGAGGTGATGACGGGGCATTAGTTCTGTTTCCGGTAAAACGCGTGCTCTTCCGAAATTTCATAAAAATGACCCTCCTATCTATTTTCGATGCATCTACACACACACACATGATATTTCTATGATTATCTTTCCCTTACTATTTTGTAACTAAACTATTTCTTAGAAAATTCATCCTACGTGAATAAAAATATTTCTTTTTTTTACCTGTACACGTTTTTAAGATAAAATATAATTTGTTCTAATTCTAAATCTAAAAAAATTTCAAATTAATTGTATCAATAATTCTGTAAGACTAAATTGTAAGAACAAAAATTAATTCGTTAAACGAACACACACACACACACACACACGAGAGAGAGATATTATTCTCGTGGGTTGTATAAAAAGAAAATGAAAAACAACATTCAACGTAAACAAATAATAATCACGGTGGTAGTAGTTAAACGTTCTTTTTTCGTAATTCTATATAAAAACTGTTTATAGAAAACACCGTAGATTTCGTTCGTCCCTTGGTGTGGTGGTGATGGTAGTAGCGGTGGTGGGTTTGCACGTTTCAAGAGTTCATTTTTGAACGGACGAAATCCAGACTTCCTAGAGAGGAAATTAAAAGAGTAAATCGTAAGAGTTTTAATAGAGCTAGTGAATTAGAATATATATATATATAGAAAGAGAGAGAGAGAGAGAGAGAGAGAGAGAGAGAGAGAGAGAGAGAGAGAGAGAGAGAGAGAAAATCGAATACAACTGTTTTCGAATATATCGTTTGTTCAGGAAGAAATAAATTCGTTTTCGTGAAAATACAACCAACAGACCCGTTGACAAACGGTGCATATCCTGATGCAGAAGAAGGGGCCCGGTGCTGTTTTCGACCCCTCGTATTCTTCTTTTTCTATTTTTAGAAACGATCTATGAAACATCTTGCACATAGTACGAACCACTACCACCTTTTCCATAGAAGGGAAAGGGAAAATAGGAAATAACGAAAGATCCTGACATTCGTGTGTCACGATTTTAGGAAATTGGGGTATGCAACTATGCATACAATTTTTAGGTATTTTCGAAATTTCGAGAAAGACGTAGAAATATTTCGAAAGAAAATTTATTGGTTTGGTTGTTTCGTTGTGTGAGAACTATCTTCTTACCTTCTTCTTCTTCTTCTTCTTTTTTTCTGTCCTTATTATTGTTACAACGTGTTTCTTCGATTCGAATATCTAATTTGATTTGAACGATTTCTAAAGGACTAAGAAAATAAATAATAAACACTTAGAAACGTTCTTAGTAACTTAGTTAGTCCAATATATGTTTCTGCTATCCTACTTTACTTAGAAACAAAAAAAATCATATACGTTAACTAAATGAAAACTAATGGTTTGAATAATAGACAATAACTTGACGAAAACAAAGGAACGTTATTACAGGATGTGTGACAAAAGGTTAGCAAACAAAAAAATATATATCAATTCAAATGATTCTTAGCAGTTAAAATGATCTATGCCAGTTAATTTTCATTTCATTTCGTTTCGTGTAAACTTATCGGTCGGACGTGTCGTTTAATAATTATTCTAAATTTTCATCTTGTGTTTAATAAATATATCATACACACTCGTTATTTAAAATCGATTAATAGTATTCGATAATGATTTCGTACGTTCAATTATTGAAACGATATTACGTGTACAATTTGAATCGACAAAAAAATCATCAATATTTCGTTCGTTAATATCGTGACAATATATTCGGACAAATAAATTAAAGAATCAAGTATCAAGAATAATGGAAATATTTAAGGTAACGAAACAACAAGAACAATAGTAATATTAAGAAAAATTCTATAGAAAATAAAGTAACGAATAAAAATTAGGCATATCTCGTTATATTCTATTTTTAGGATATTTTCTTCGTACCAGATGATACCTGAAGTAAACTTCGTGGTTATATTTTCGGTAGGACAGATAAAAATTAAAAGCCAACAAAGATATGGTAGATGGTAAAGAAGATAAAGGAAAGAGAACCTTTGGAATGATGATCAAGGACGAAATATATTACTTGTGAGTGTATATAAGAAAAAAAAAACAGAAAAAAAAAAGATAAAGGGAGAGGAATGGTCAGAAAAAAAGAAAATAAATCTTGACCGTAACCTAAGAAAAGGAAAAATTCCGAAATGGGGGAACCAAAAATTGTTAGAAGAAAAGATTTGGGACTTTTGTGAACGTGTTGAGAATGTATTGTGGGGGGGGTTAGGGAGAGGGGTGTCCATTCTTTTTCGTATTTTGCAAGCAACACATTCCTCAATCCCATAGACCTTTCTCGAATTTTCTTTCTAAAATGTCTGCATACCTACGGTGTGGGTCCCCTCCCCTTCTCTAACGGTCAAATCCATTTCAAATCATCGCTCGACCACCCCCTTTTCCGTTCTTCCCCCACTTAACAAAATGAGGCCCTCGAATCTCTAGGGTCCAGGCCTGGGTAGTGGCTTTATCCCCACCGTTTCGGACAGTTTTTCGAGGGTTGGGGTATTTTCCATGAGAGCCAAATTCTACGATCAGTTGCGCCTACGCTTTCTGACCTAAAGATTCATCGTTTTTTTTTTTTCCCTTTTCCTTTTTTTTCTCCCCTTTTACCTCTCTTTCCTCCCTTTCCTCTTTTTTCCTTCCTCTTCTTTTTGTTCTTGTTTTTCGTTTGAAGTTTTAATTTTAGTTTTCGATTTAATTATCGTTTTAATTTCGAATTCGATGAAGTTATTATATCTTCCGCCATTTTGTTGAGTGTTTTTTGATACTTTGAATTATATATATATATATTTTAATACGAATAAAATGATGGCTACCAATATCGAAGAAGTGAAAAGAAATTATACGAAGGAAGAAATGGTTTCCGTACTGAAGGATCTACTCAAGATAATATTTTCAAAAATTATGATTGGCTCGCAAACAAGTGATTATATTTTTCATTATTATTATTCGTACGTAAAATAAATATATATACCATATATATTTCTATATAATATTTTTCTATGCAATGAAAATTTATATCGAGATATATAAAATCGGTTGAATTTGTTGCTA